AAAATCGGGGAATGGGCAGTAACGTCTTCTTAATATCGACTAAAAATAAAAATAAACTGCGGTTGCCAACCCACTTGCCAAGCGTGGCAACTATGACGAATATCACCCATATGAGGCAATCTATGTGGGAGGCCTATGCTCAGCGGTGAACTTTAACAGGCTGTGGTAACGGTAAGCTTAACTTTTTTTTTTGCGCCCGTAGCAATTAAAGGGCTACCCTATACGTAGGGAAGCGGAAAATGCATTACGCATACCACGATAGCCGGTCTATCGTGGCTATGAGGGACTCACATTCTACCGGGGAACCTAAGTAATACCCTCTAAAAACCGCCTTTAGGGACTGGCAACTGGCTGATTAAGCTTTATTGTGCCGTATCGGAGCGACCCCCCTTGGGTGAAAGGAGGGCGCTAGCGGCGAGTAGTCGCTGGGAAGAGTTGCTACCTAATTAAGGCAGCTAACGAATGGGATGGAATGACTAATTAGATTGAGTTCAGAAGGTGTTGATGCTCGGTAAGCGCGAGCAAACGGTCCTGAGGGGACTGAGAAGCGCGCAGTTTGCGTGCTAAAATTGCGATCTCTTTTACGTCGATATTGCGGATAGCAGTGTATACTGTATCTACGTTATCGGCGTAAGAGGGTTCCGCCTGTTGTCGAGGCCCTAGTGGGCGGAGGTGAGGAGGCCGGTAGGGTTCCTGAGGGGGGCCGATATGGGTCCTGAGGTGACTGAGATTTGCCCTGTGGGGGCATTTTGGATGGGAGGGCCGGGAATGTACGGTCATTGACCGGTGGGGGGGGCTTTTTTGGCAGCTTTGTTGCCGAGATTGGGGCGAGGTGCGCGAGGGCAGCCTCTGAAGTTGGCTGTATGGCCAGTCTGTCCGCAAAGGACGCAAGCGGGTGGGAAGTGGGAAGGTGGTTTCGAGCTGTGCGGGCTAGGCACTTAACGCACCTGGGAGTGGCTGAGCAGTTGGCCGCCGCATGCCCGTAGAGTTGGCAACGGTGGCATTGCGCCGGAAAACCGCGCCTATAGGGGGGCTTCGACTTTGACTCTTGACAGGCCGCACACAGTGTGTACCTGTCGGAATATGTCTTTAGCCTCCGGCACGTTGGACAAAATGAGGAGGGCAAGCGAGTACCTCTTGCCCCTGTTGCTGTGCATCTTGTGCACAACCTCAACTGGGAATCCCTGGGACTTAAGGTCCTCCAGGATTTCCTCGTTGGCGAGTTCAAAGGGAACTCCGCGGAGGACAGCCCTGATTTTACGTTCTTCAGGGAGAGAGTAGGTGTGATAGAGCACACCTTCGGATGTGAAAAGTTTGGTGATGTTTCTAAAGTCTTCCATAGACTGCGGAACGATTTTAATTGATTCGCCAAGGTTGGTGGCTTGGCTATATTTAAAGCCTGCGTCGTAACAGACTTTAGAAAGTCTAGTAATTTGCGCCTCGTCCCTGAGGAAGACAGGGGGCGGGACCTGTTTCTTGGAGGCAGCGACGGGGGGCTGCGGTGGAGCGAGCAGGCGCGGGGGCTGTAGTGGCGCGGGAAGGCGCGGGGGCTGCGGGGGGCGAGAGGCGCGCGAGAGGTTGCAGCATGTTTCGAACCGCGCTTGGATTTCACTTCCGTGAAGGAGGTTGTATCAATGACTGATTCAACGGACTGTGATGAGTCCGAGGAGCAGCTCGATGTACGAGTGGATGAACGGGTGCCAGAATTGGTGGCGGGCCTCTTCCGGGAGGCCGAAGCAGAGGAATTGGAGCGTTCGTACTCCATTTCCAGGGGGGCAAAAGTGTTCTGTGTCTCTATGTAGGACGGCGATTACGGGTGGCGGTTGGTACTGTGTCTGGTCGTGTGCCTCAGCTTTGGCGGCGATTTCGGCGAGGATCGTCTCGTCGAAGTCTAGGCTCAGACCAAGAGTTTTGTTTAGGCAGGCGATGAGGGGCTTAATTTGGCTGACTGTGAACATGTTGGGGCTGTAGTTTATAGACGATTTATTGTATGAAACTAGAGGTCCCTGTTCTGAGAAGAACAGGGCCTTGGGGGCAGATGGGGAGGACTGACGTTCTATTCCCAGAAGCTGGGGTCCCTATGTTCTGAAAAAGAACAAGGACTCGCTCTGAGAAGAGCAAGAGACGATCTTCCAAGAACAGTATATACAACAAGTAACAGTATAACAAAAACAATAACAGAAAAATTAAAAATAAAACAAAACAAAGCAAAGCGCGCTCAAGCCTCCCCGCCGGAGCAAGGGGGCAAGAACGATGCGAAAAACAAAGTGACTCACCAACGGCGTCTGCTCGGCCGGTGTTAGCCGGGGGAGAGCGGGGCGCGCGGGCGAGCGGTTGCGCTACCGAGGGGTCTGAGCGCGAAAGAACTGTATGCACGACCGCTCGGGGGCGGCGCGCAAACTAGGAGTGGGCGATACAAATCGTATATAGATACAATATCTATATATCAGTACAATATTCGACATCTATATATCGGACGACAAACCAACTATATACTAGATATTACGATATCGCTGCAGCGGCAATACAGCTAGCGGTGTTTGAATCGCAGAATATCTAATATCTACTCGAAACGAAAACGTAAAATATCTAAATATATACATAGATTCGAATACCGAACAAACCGTGAGAGCGATAGAATATATAGGTGAAACTGATATTACGACTACTTCACAACTAAAAGTTGATAAGCTTACGCCTAATATCATTAATATTAATCCTTATTAGTAGTGGTATTTAATTAATATTTTGTTGTGTTGCAATGTTTTCGAAATAAACGACTTTAGATCTTATTGTGTATTTAATAGAATGTTATTTTTAATCCAATTAATTTTAAATATTTGTCACACGACCTGGAAATTTAAGTTGAAACCGACATTGAAACATTGAGGTAGGTACCTGTTTGCTATTGTGCTTTGGGTTTCAACGAAAAAGCTCTTGTGTTCTATTTTTAAATTTTATTTTCAGTTTCGTTCACATGCATCGTGAAATGCGTCGCGTAATTCGAATGCAGATAACATATTTTATGTAATTTCTCTGCTCACTTTCGTTTGTAATTCGGTTTCGAAATTTTAATTTTAATTTGATAATTTTTTTGTTTTATGATAGTTTTTTAAGTTTGAACTGTTTTTGTGTATAAAAAGTAGTGTAACATAAAATATTATATAGATACGTAGATATTAGGTAGATACTGTACATTAATTAAACAAATTAATTCAAGTTTAGTGTTTGACATTGTGTAGAACCAATTAAACCTATTATGTATAACAATGTCACGTCCGCTTACACGCATAATATGGAACTATTTTGAGAAGTTAAGTGTAACAAATTAAAAATGTATTCTTTGGAGTAAACGAGTGAAATAATACTTTGAAATAATAGCGCCATCTACTACATTTTATACGTAAAATGATTTTATCGTACAAAAATTGATTAACTCTCAAGGTGGTGGTACGCACAAAATACGCTAGATGGCATAAACACGACACGATTTAATTTAATATAACGAAAACATCAACAAATATATAGATATTAAAATATATAGATACAATATCAGATATTCGTTTCCAATACATAGGTACGATTTGATATAGGCTAAAAGTGATATTACCCGCCTCTAGCGCCAACGGAACTGTTGCTACGTGTAATCTTAACCAAGTAACCGGCTATTAAGTAAGTACCAGTAAGTACGGGACAAAAGAGCTGGATAAAAAATATATTATTAATCCTGTTATCGGATCATTTTGTCACCATGAAATATTAATACAAACTTAAACAGCTTGTGATTTAATAATTAATATCTATATAAAACCGTCAAAATTATCTTTGAAAAAAATATATTGAACATTAAAAATACATTAATAAGCATAAAGTTAAAATAAATACATTTCAGACATTAAGTATTACTTATAGTAAATTAAAGGCTTAATATTATCTTTCAAAATCGATAAATTCATTAAAAACTTTGTTAAAATATTAAAAATGTAATAAATAATGGAAATACAAGTCGAAAATATTATAAAAATAAAGATAAATAACATTTATAAAATAATTGGAAAATTGGTTAAAAATTGCCCAAGTCATGGAGGGAGTTCGTGTATAAGAATATTGTCTAAGTAATTGACCGTGTTCATATATAAGAAAATTGGTTGATCCTGCAGACCATCCCTGGAACTTCTCGAATTTCACCAAATTATGTTGCTAAATCTCAAAGTTACGTTAAAAAACGTTTTTTTTTTTGCAAATGAGTATATTAGGCTATCACAGTAAAGCCTTAAAAGGTGCAGAATTAAATTGGTCTGAACAAAACAAGAGTTTTATGGCGGAAACAAATTATTAAAACGCGACGCGACCCGATGAAATAATAAAATAAACAGTAATATAAAAAATAAAAATTACATCTTTGAAACAAAATAAATAGCGTAAAAAATTACACGAAATAAATCATCCTGAATAATATTAATTTACTGACCTGCAGGCTTACACTCTTAAAAACAGCTGTTCCGATCGATCGGGATTGAAATTATAACGTTTCGTACTCTTGAAAGCGACTCTAGCGCTAAATTAGTTTAACATTGCGTGGTGATTGTGTGAACTAATTGAGATTAGAATTGAAATTGTCCAATCCGATTGTAAGCAAAATCAGTACGACGCACTTTTGACAGTTAGCAGTTGCGTATTATGTTTGATATTGCGTTGGAATTGGAATTTAAAGAATAGTAAAAGAGAAGTGAACTGTATAAGCGGCACGGCAACGTGGCGGCATTAACCCTAGATACATAACGTTATTTGATACCCCTTACAGCATAACGTGAGGTCGATATGACTCACAACTGTTTTCGACCCGATTGCGCTGCGATCTTTATTTAATATTGTAATTTATTCTATAGAATAATGTTTTTACACCAGTCTAAGAAATGAAATAAAAAAAATATTAATTTGTATTATTTTTCTTTTACTTAAAAACAAACAAAAACTATAGTGCTTTGGAATAATGAAACTTAAAACGAGTATTTATTTTTCTTTGGGTAAAGATCACTTATCTTCTACAATTAAAAAAAATTATAAAAATAAGTAAAAATAAAACATTAAAAATATCAAAACATTAAAAATATCAAAATATTTACTATTATTTATTACAAGTCAATACTTTATGCTCTCCACAGACAGGTTTTTTACATTTCTTGCACTCTGCCTGCGTCTTTCTTCTTAGTTTCCACGGACAGAAGGCGCAGTATTTCCTTCTCTTTCCAGCAGGTTCATCATCATCTGGTAAGTTCGTAGCAGGGGAATTCAGTAATATACTTTGTAGATTTTCGCGTAATTTGCGACTCAGATTAGGAAGTTCAAGCCTTTTCTCCATCCATGGCTTTGCTAAGTCTGTGCTCAATTGTTTCATAAATGCCCGTCTATTTAGGGGTTTTTCCTTTTTGGAAAGCACGTTGTGGCAGGAAATGACGTAGCTGTTGACAAAAGCCATATTCATCATGCCGTAGAAAAACGCCATGGACCATCTATTTGTCTTCCTACTGCATGTCATCTGCGAGCACATTTGGTCGAACGAATCAACTCCTCCCTTTGTTTGATTGTAAAATTCAATCATATCTGGTTTTCCGGAGCTAGATTTAACGACACCGTCCTCATCACAGGATGACAGTAAATAAACCATCTTTGAAGGTTTGGGTTTATAAGACAGTAAAGTCAGTGGGCCATCGTAGCAAAACATAGAGGTTCCGACAGCCCGGGATCTAGTGTTTTTTAGCTCTTCCGGTATTTCCCTTTTATTCGGGCGAATTGTACCGACTATAGTTAATTTATAAGGCTCCTGGAGTAAAGATTTAGCCAGAGGTACGGATGTGAACCAGTTATCACAGGTAATATTCCTACACGATCCATGGATAGTTTTAGATAACTCCTTCATAAAGTACTCTCCAAGAGGAAGTCCATTTGCTTCTGTTCCTTTACCTAAATATGGAATGGCATCAAACATGTATTTTGTCGAACTATCACAGATCATAGGTATTTTCAGACCATATTTATTGGGCTTATTGGGTATATACATACGAAAGGGACACCTTCCTCTAAATCCCAATAATTGTTCGTCGACAGTCACGTGAGATCCCGGAGTATAGTTTATTCTACACTGGGTAATAAACAAATTCTATATTTTTTTGATAGGAGCAAAAACATCTTGAGAACGATTAGTAGGACGTATGGATTTATCGTCAAATCGGAGGGATGCTAAAAGGAACACGAACCGATCTCTACTCATAACCGATACGTAGCGTGTGCCAGAGAATGAAGTGTCAAACAATTCAACAGTCGTTAGATGGTTATCCTTCATTGCAGCTGTCAATGTTAAAATTCCAATGAAGGCTCTAATCTCGTCAAAAGTAATGTCTCTGAAGGTAGCTGATAAATCGTTAAGATTTCGTTTCTGACGAATCTCTACATTGGTCCAGGTTACTATTTCTTCTATGATTTCCTTAGTAAAAAATATATCAAAACACAACAATGGTTCAAATAGATTTCTACACATTCTTGTTGGCCCTCTTGATACTCGTACAATGTTTAGAGCGGAAGTTCTTGTCTGAGTACGCCCCTTTATTGTAGACCAGCAGTGGTTGTTTTTTCCCTTTATAGATCTTTGAGGTAATACGATTATTCGATCTGACGTCGAAGTTGGAGGACGATGTGTTGTAAGAGAATTTTCGCTTACCTCTGCAACCTCTTCTAAAATAAAGTCATTTATCAAATCATGCTCGTAGTCACTTTGCACGTCATCTACACTTAAGTTATCCTCTTCTTCACTACAAGCATCGACAGTTTCCGATTCTTCCTCCAAAAACTCTTCGATCTGAAAGTCTTGCAACGCCCGAGATGAAGTCATCGCGCGGTAGGTTTAGCTGAATAATCAACTGTAAAATCAAAAACAAATACATATTATCAAAATATGTTCAAAATAAACTAAAACAATCGAAATAACATTTGGATGGTTAAGTTCAAAATGTTACAAATCACTTAACGTGGAGTCATTTTGACTCACGATTGCACTAAATCTACGTATATACAATGCTCACCTGCAATACACATGTACCGTATGGGACCTTTGGCCGCGTACTGAGTTGGCTCGGGCAGATGACGTGAAAAATAAAATGGTTGGAAAGAGACAGATGAAAACGTTTCGCGCGTGAGTCGTTTTGACTCACGTTATGTATCTAGGGTTAACAGAGTTAATTATAATACCTACACTTGCCCATACATAAGCAATTAGGCAGGCGTAGGCCGATGCTAATGGGATATTATCAACAAATCACAAACTTTATGATTTGTTTTTATCCAAATATTCCCTCTAATGTTGTAATCACTATAATTTATTAAATAAATCAAATCAAATTTTTAGATTTTAGAATGTTCGCCGTGCACCCGAATACATAATTGATATCTTCGCATGATATTTATTATTTTGGATATTTCAAAGTAGGTCACTATTGGCGGCAAAAAAAATTATTTTGTCGAAAGCCCGAATAATTCTTGTTTTTATGTCCTCGACAGTCGTTACTTCAATGGAGTATACCTTATTTTTTAAATAACTCCATAAGAAAAAACGTAACGGTGTTAGATTCGGTGATCGTGCTGGCCACCGAGAAGGCGGGAGGGACTCGCAGAGAGTAGGTTGTCGAGCCCTAGTATTTCCGACGAAGGCCGAATGCTTGAACGGAAATCTGTGTAGGTACTTAATGCACATGCCATCTGATCGGATCGGGAACTTGTCAATCAAATAAGCTAACTAAAACGAAACTAATTAAGGAGCATAATTGCCTAAACATGCTATTCATAAAATTTCTTTTGACTATTTTGCACCATTCACCCTTATATCTGTATACAAAAGAGATATTATTGCGTGTATTTTCTTATTCGTAAATAAGAGAATTATGTTTATGTTCGAGGAAGTAAAAGTTTTGTTTCGATTTTTTGTAAATTCAGTTGTTATTGTGAACTGAGTACGTAACCTACTGACCGTGACCTAATTTTTAAAGTTATTTTGCGTGTTTATTGAATTTAGAGACAATTTTTAAAGTTTTATTAATTAATTTTTAAGTACGTAAATAAATAAAACTGAATATTATTGTGTTTATTAGTTGGAAATGACGATGTTTAAACTGTAAATAATAGTGTGTAAATAGTGTTTTTGTGTATAGATCATAGGTTCTTGTTGTGAATAGTAAATAGATCTTCGTACATACAAATCCATAAGTATGGCTCCTAAGAAAAGTTTGGCGTGGGATCATTTTTTGGACAAAGGAGAAAATAAAGCCGAATGCAAGATGTGTACAGTAATTATATCGTACAAATCTGGAGTATCTAACCTTACCAAACATGTACAGAGAAAACATATTTCTGTTAATTTAATGAGAAGGGAGCAAGAGGTACCGGCGCATGCTTTACAAAGTACACAATTTACAATTTCCAATACTCCACTGCAAACTGACGCACCACCTAATACAATAAGGTCAAATACAGCCACTATGCCCACTATCTCGGCATTCCTTCGACGCGATTGTCAAAAAATAAAAAAGCAAATTGATGATCATTTGATGAATTTGTTTATATGGGACTTGCAGCCATTTTCTATAGTGGAAGACAAGGGGTTTCGCGAATTAATAAAGTTTGCTTTCCCAAATTATATTATACCATCGCGAAAATATTTCGCCAATAATTTATTGCCGGGGCGGTATGAGGAGGTTAAAACTAATACTAAAGTAGCTCTAAGTGAAGATGCAAAAAGTATATGCTTAACGACTGATATGTGGACGTCAAGAAATAATGACTCGTATTTAGCGGTTACGGGTCACTATATTGATGATAAAAATTATAGTTTGCAATCAGTGCTCCTTGAATGTAAAGTGTTAGAGAGTCGTCACACAGGGCTAAATTTAGGCGAAGAGTTAAGAAATGTCGCTCAAGAGTGGAATATTCTTAACAAAGTCCTCCTTGCAGTATCAGATAACGGTGCCAAAATCAAAAGTGCTATAGCTCTATTAGAGTGGAAACATTTTGGCTGTTATGCGCATACGCTTAACCTGGCAGTCCAAAAAGTATTAGGAAGTTCTTATATAAGCGATTTAATTAGTAAAGTGAAGGCTATAGTTTCCTATTTCAAACGAAGTAATTTAGCATGGAATAAATTGAAAAAATATCAAGAACAGGCTAATAAAGTCGTAAAGAGACCAATCCAAGATGTTGTTACAAGGTGGAACTCCATATTCTACATGTTACACAGGTTCGTGGAACTAAAAGACGAAATTAAATGTGCACTCAGTAATCTAGACACAGGTAATTTAATTATGTTGACCAGTTATGAATGGGATATATGTCAGTCGTTGATCATAGTGTTGCAACCGTGTGAAGAAGTGACGAGAGAAACGAGCGGCCAAAGATATGTAAGTGGAAGCTCAGTCATTCCGTTAACAATTGGTCGCACCAGCGCTCTCAACGAGATCGCCAGTCTGACATATCGGCAAGAAAATAACATTGACGTTTTCCCTGATGAAGTTGAAATGTGCCGACAGGATCTCCTCTCAGAAATAAGCACGCGATTTTCTAATTTGGAACAGAGTCGAACCTACATTGTTGCTATGTTTTAGACCCGAGGTATAAGTTATACATTGAGAGTGAAAACGTTACGGACAATACGAAAAAGCATATCATAGGCCTAGTAACCACTATGATTAATGAAAATGAAAGATGTTAGTCTTCAGCATCAACTTCTGATGAGCCAGATAACCAGGGACAAAAATCTAACAATCTGTTATGGAAGCACTACAACAGGCAAATGCAAAATGTACGACCAGCTGGAACCGCCAATAGCAGGGCAATCGTTGAAACCCAAAAATATCTAGATGACACAGTTTTGTCTCCAGATATGGATCCTTTGGAGTGGTGGCGAATAAATCAGACACAAACAAAAACAAAAAAAAATACAAAATCATGTATGTATATAAAATGAAATCTTTTAACTACGCCTGCTAATACAAGTTTCTATTCTAGCTCATGTCAAAATACTGTAAAACCACAGAATACAATATATTCTTAAATTTATTTAGCAGACAGTCCTAAGCTTGTGATTTAAAAAAGTAGGAAGGAAAGATTTCATTTCGTTAACAAAAAATTAAAAAACGTTCAATCATAGTACTCGTAATGGTAATGGCCCGACTCGAACTAGTCATTCATATTATTGACATTAACAATACGGCGCGAGCAAAAAATACTTGCAAGTATGAAAGTACATGTTGTAAGACAGATGCTCGTATAACTTGAACACTATACGTGAAAATACTTGCATAGGAAAATAATCCATATCTTAATAGAAATAAGAAACTCAATCGTATTTGTGAATAAAAAATACTTTGAACTTCAAATTATTTTTTTTTATTTATACGACTTTGCTCCGTATTCATAATAGGATAACATGCAATACGGGTCGAATTCCTATGCAAGTATTTTCAAATTTTGACACCGCGGCTGGACACGTCGCTCGCGTCGACAAATACTTTTAAGTATTTTTAGAACCTGGTTTTCGACCCTGGTATTTTTCCATACTCGTACAAAAGCCTTGGTATTAAATTTTGCATGTATGTCTCATCTCTAGTTGGGAGACAATTTTAAGGTCATTGAGCATAGTGCTTAGGTCCTCCAGCGATTTTGCCATAAGGACTATAACATCGGAAAATCGAAGGTGAGTGATGTTATGTGTCAGAGACAAAAACTCTTTTAAAAATAAATTTATTTAATATATTTAACTATAATACAAAATAACTTAAAATATAGAAGTTGAGTCAGAGAGTTTGGAAATAGAATTGTGTTGTGGGATTTTTTTTTTTTTTTTGCGCCCTAAGCAAATATGGGCAACCCTCCGGAAAGCGGGGGGAGGGAGGTGGTGAATGCTCATAGCATACCACGCAGCCGGCTGCGTGGTTATGTGGCGACTTTTACCCACTAAACACCACCTTTTAGGAAATGGCTTAACGATCTGACTGGAGATCTCTAAGCCGTATACGAACGCGACCCTCCTTGGCAGAAAGGAGGGCGCAGGTTGTGGGATCGAAGGACTTGGTTTATATAGTGTAGGATCGTGGGAAGCTAGGAGGTAGGGGTAAAGATAAGGGAACATTATGCTTGTTTGTGTTTATCGTTAACTTATTCTAAGATACAATTAAGAATGGTAAACTTTGGAACAGTAAACATTAGTATTTAAATATTACAATCTAATTAGTTTGGTTTCTAGGTAAACAATGTAATTTAGTTTTAAAGTAAATAAGTAATATAAGAATAACAGTATAGGAGTATAGAAGACTTATAATATAAAGTAAATAGTATATAACACAATAATAGAACCTATAACATAACGAAAGTGACCTTCTAGTATTCTTCAGGTGATAAATCTATGTATTTACAAGATGTTGTTAAATATAAAATTGAAAAAAGGCTACTGGGACCAGGACGTTAATTGTTACCTTTTTTGGTTATGTATGTTTAAAGAACTTTATATAGGATACGTCTTTTCATTTAACGTGATGACTTCATCGTCACTCTGTATGTTATAAAATATTAGAAGACATATCTTAAATATCTACGCGTGATATAGTGGTATAATACTCGTGAAATTAAAAAAATCAAAATTGCTATTAAAATACGCAACAAATATTCTCGTGAGGTAAATTATGTCAGCAACACATGTCAATAAAGCCGGTTCGTTTACGGTAACAAATTTGAAGTGTTCGTTTCAGGGTTGTTAAACCGAAGGATGAAAATCCAAAGTTGAGTCTCTAAATTAATACTGCTGGTAAAAATTTTAGTTTTCACATACTTTCACACGATATTTTTTTC